GGTGTGTGTGTGTGTGTGTGTGTGTGTGTGTATGTGTGTGGTGTGTGTGTGTGTGTGTGTGTGGTGTGTGTGTGTGTGTGTGTGTGTTTGTGAGGTGTGTGTGTGTGTGTGTGTGTGTATGCAATTTAATTTATTTTTTCTTCAATTTTGTTTATTCTGTAATTCACGTATTTTTTTCGAATATATTTGTTGGAGCAAGTACATTTTTGGTGTCATGTAGAAATGTGAAAGTACTGTAATTAAACCCTAACTCAACATAAAATAAATAATAATAATAATAATGATAATAATAATAATAATAATAATAATAATAATAATAATAATAATAATAATAATAATAATAATAATAATAATAATAATGTTCTCTGATTGTTTCACAGGGCGCAGAAATTAAAGATGTGCATGAGCGGACTCCTCAGTCACGTGTCTGTCCCCTCATCGCCCCTCTGCAGCCAAGTGGATGCTTAACACACACACACACACACACACACACACACACACACACACACACACACACACACAACACACACACACACCCACACACACACACACACACATCAACCACACACACACACACACACACAGACACAACAACACACACACACACACACTGCGGTCTCTCTGTATATGTGCCCGGACACAGAGCTGTCTCTGCGGTGAAGCTGCAGACACTTCAGAGGGTTAGTTTTTCTCAAATGTTTGGATTGTATCTGTCTTTTTAAAATAATATCTACCGTATGTAATGTTCAGAATGAGGAGATTAAAGCGATGAATAATGGTTAATGTTCACGTGTCCACCCTCACGTTCACAGCTGGTTTATTTCTGATTACTTTTCTGGTTCTGAGGAAATAAATAAGCGCTCCACCTCGGAGAGTTTCTCCATCTCGTTCAGAGCCGCGATGCAGAGTGGCACGCGGTGTTTCTGCACGCTAACACTGAGGTGATACATGGATGTTTTACAGAGGAACAATGTGGATGTATTCTCTGTCAGAACAGGAGGATATTAAGGGAACCAGCTTATTTAACCTGCTCTGTAATGAGAGGCCTCTCTACAATAACAACTGAGGAGCATTATGAATAATTCCTCTCATTAATCTGATGAATCCCCGCCTCTCACAAGAATGTCCTCCTGTTGATTGCTCTTTATTTATTAGCTGTTTCCAATCAGTCACATGTTCCTCAGCTCAGATTTCACCTGGCTGACCGTGACGGGCGCGTTTCTGAGGTCGTTTCCACCTCTTTCTGATAGGTTCATAAAGCAAACACAGGTCAGGTTCGCAGCCAATTAGAGAGGGTCTCTGCCTCCCACAGTTAGAGAGGAAGGGAGCATGGGGGTCGGGGGAGTGATTAATTACTCCTGGAGGGTGAGCTACATGTTCCCAAAACACGGAGCTTTTACGCACAAGTGAGACGTTACCGCGCGCCTTTCTGAGGAGAACCGGGACCAAAACCGGGATTTTCTACCGTGAAGGAGCCCGGTTCATGACGTTCAATATGCAGAGACTTTAAGAGACAGGTAAGATCATGCGTTTTATTCCGACTATAAACGGCTTTTTGCGCTGCAATGTAACTTCTGTCCAAACATCTGTTTCACCTCGGGTTGTGTTGAAGTTGCAGCATCTCGCATTCACGACATTTTTATTATTATTTACAGCAGATTAAAGTCGATTTTAGGAGTTTAGAGAGTCGTGTTTGATGCATGAGAGAAGTTTAGCATGTGTTTCATTAATGGAGAATACACTGTAATACAACATGTGTTCTAGTCCTTTCCGCAGAGCTCATTTGCAATACGTTATATATATATAATATAAACAAATCAGCATTCAATCTCTTTCGATAGAGATAGATAGATGGTGACTTACATTCATTTTTTATTTTGTAGTAAAACCTGAAACAATGTGTTTTTCGGCAGTAATGTCCGCGCTGACTGCGAGTTTGTAAATGTGCAAATATATAGAAATGGCTTTAATTAATTAACAGTAATAATAATACATAATGTTGATATAGCGCTTTATGTGCTCAAATTGCTTTACGTGAAAACACAAGAAATGTTATATTAAAGTCACTTTCCATGATGCAAAGGGACTTCATTCATTTAAATGAAAACACGTCAAGATGATCACTTTCAGTTATGGTTTATTTATCAAATAAATGCAAAGGCAATACATATAATAATCATATACAGGAAAGGTTCAATCAACAATAAATAGGCCTAGTACATATTTCTCTCTCAAATATAAGTTGAGTTTAATAAATCGTGCAATAAATGTCTATAACTGTCTCTCTGCAGCCCGGCAATAAAATATCATATATAGTTAATAGAACAATAAATAGCATTTAATAAAACTTATGAAATATAATTGAAGGGTTAATAAAAGTGTGTCTCGGTGCAGGTCAGTGAGCAACCCGGCGATAACATCATGTACATAAACAATTAGTTAATAGAACAATAAATAACACAAGAGTCTTATTACTTATAATTTAAGGTAAATACAACGTGCAATAAATGTCTAGAAGTGTGTCTCTCTGCAGCCCGAATAACTTATCATAGTTAATAGAACAATAAATAGCACATCAATATTCTTATTTATAGTAATTTAAGGTTAATAAAGAGTGTGTGTCTGCGCAGGTCAGAGAGGTCCTGATGTCCCGGAGAGGAGCTCTCTGCTCCGGAGCTGCGGGGGGTCAGAGCTCTGCCTCCAGCCCGAGATCCAGCCCTGATGCCCGGCTGCAAAGCACCGCGGGGGGTCCTGATGGTCCCGGTGGTCTCGCAGGGAGTCCTGATGGGGGTCCTGATGGTCTCGCGGGGGGTCCCGGTGGTGCACGAGGCAGGCCGGCAGCAGCGAACGCAGCGCGCGAGAGGAGTCGCGTGCAGACCCTGCGCTCAGCCTTCCTCGAGCTCCAAAGGACCCTGCCCTCAGTGCCTCGCGACACAAAGCTCTCCAAACTGGACGTGCTGATCCTCGCGACCACTTACATCGCTCACCTGACCCGCACGCTGCACGAGGAGGGAGCGGAGCAGAGCGCGAGGCAGACGGAGGCGCTGACGTCTCTGAAGGGGGACGGGTACCTGCACCCTGTCAAGGTAGGAATCACACATTTAATAATTATGAACGAAATGCAGAGCTAACATTTAAACTCTCAACACCTTCATGTCATTTCAATGTGTTCTCGCTTTCTGAACACAGTGAGGAATAAGCTGATCAGGAACACGGGTTGAATCATTTCTCCGTCGTTTCTTCTGAACGCCATCCTGCTGCTTTAAATCCCTGCACCCTGAAGGTAGAAATAACACCTTTAGTAATGAAGGAAATGTCTCAGAGCTCAAATGTAAACTCTCAACACCTCGAATGGGAGACGTTTGCGTTGCAGCGGCATCAAAACACAAGGCGTTGAACATTAGAGAAATTAAAGACTGGAAATAAACAATCCGAAATGTAAACGCCTCAATAGAAAAAACATAGCATTCAAAGATATACATGTGGAAATACACATTCACAGTAACAACTAGCAGGATATAGTGTGTGCGGAATGGATTATTACACACATTAGATTGGGTATAAATGGACATGGAGTTTAAATGTCACTTTAAATTCTCATTGTTAGTGTATTCTGTTCTTCCGCTTCTCTGTATTAGTCAGAGGAACACCTGATGTTTCCTTCAGCAACGGGACATTAAATCCATCATCTCTCCGTATTTAGTTTCTTCATTCTTACCGTCATCATGCTGCGACATTTAAACCCTGAAGGTAGACATAAAACATAATGAACGAAATGTCTCAGAGCTCAAATGTAAACGCTTTCAGGCTTTATTAATGATGTTGCATATTTTTAAAGCACCCTCTCTGATTTTGAGGCTGATTCAGTCATTTAGGATTATAACATAACGCTCTTTAATGAATGGCCGAAATGTCTCGCGCTCAGAAACCCAACCCTTTAGATCACTTGATGTGGCTCCTCTAAATACCAAGAGGGTTATTCATTTGCTTTGGTCAATGAATTGTGATTTCATTGTGAAATATGTTTTAATTGTGAACGAAATGTTTCCCTAAACATTGCCTTTTTGATCACTGATATTCTCTATGATCGATTTGATGAAAGCCTCTCTCCTCTGGGAGGAAGCCAGATTGTTTTGCGTATTTTCAAATTCCAGCGCACTCGAGCTGGTTTCTCAATTCTACCTTTAATTAATGATTTGTTTGTTTTTATCAATTGATTTTATTGTGAAATATCTTTACTCTGATGCTAAAATGCAAACTATAATTACCTAAATGCTTTATAAATGATGTTGCATATTTGTAGAAGCATATAGCAACATCAATGACCCCCTGTGATCAGGGGTCAAACTCAAATGCACAGTGGGCCAGAATTAAATAAACGGTACTGGAGGGGGGCCGGACTGCTTCAATGTTTACTGCAGAACGTATTGAAATGAACTTAATGCACAAATTAAACCTGGAACTAACTAAGCTTCAATGATTGCCTATAAAAACAACATGAAACATTAAATTATCAGTTGCAGTCATTTCTCATGTTTGGGCTCAGGCTCTGAGCTGAGGGAGACCCTCAGTTTGGGCTCAGGCTCTGAGCGGAGGAGACCCTCAGTTTGGGCTCAGGCTCTGAGCTGAGGAGACCCTCAGTTTGGGCTCAGGCTCTGAGCTGAGGAGACCCTCAGTTTGGGCTCAGGCTCTGAGCTGAGGAGACCCTCAGTTTGGGCTCAGGCTCTGAGCGGAGGAGACCCTCAGTTTGGGCTCAGGCTCTGAGCTGAGGAGACCCTCAGTTTGGGCTCAGGCTCTGAGCGGAGGAGACCCTCAGTTTGGGCTCAGGCTCTGAGCTGAGGAGACACTCAGTTTGGGCTCAGGCTCTGAGCTGAGGAGACCCTCAGTTTGGGCTCAGGCTCTGAGCTGAGGAGACCCTCAGTTTGGGCTCAGGCTCTGAGCGGAGGAGACCCTCAGTTTGGGCTCAGGCTCTGAGCGGAGGAGACCCTCAGTTTTGGGCTCAGGCTCTGAGCGGAGGAGGACCCTCAGTTTGGGCTCAGGCTCTGAGCTGAGGAGACCCTCAGTTTGGGCTCAGGCTCTGAGCTGAGGAGACCCTCAGTTTGGGCTCAGGCTCTGAGCTGAGGAGACCCTCAGTTTGGGCTCAGGCTCTGAGCTGAGGAGACCCTCAGTTTGGGCTCAGGCTCTGAGCGGAGGAGACCCTCAGTTTGGGCTCAGGCTCTGAGCTGAGGAGACCCTCAGTTTGGGCTCAGGCTCTGAGCGGAGGAGACCCTCAGTTTGGGCTCAGGCTCTGAGCTGAGGAGACCCTCAGTTTGGGGCTCAGGCTCTGAGCTGAGGAGACCCTCAGTTTGGGCTCAGGCTCTGAGCTGAGGAGACCCTCAGTTTGGGCTCAGGCTCTGAGCGGAGGAGACCCTCAGTTTGGGCTCAGGCTCTGAGCTGAGGAGACCCTCAGTTTGGGCTCAGGCTCTGAGCGGAGGAGACCCTCAGTTTGGGCTCAGGCTCTGAGCTGAGGAGACCCTCAGTTTGGGCATCAGGCTCTGAGCTGAGGAGACCCTCAGTTTGGGCTCAGGCTCTGAGCGGAGGAGACCCTCAGTTTGGGCTCAGGCTCTGAGCGGAGGAGACCCTCAGTTTGGGCTCAGGCTCTGAGCGGAGGAGACCCTCAGTTTGGGCTCAGGCTCTGAGCGGAGGAGACCCTCAGTTGGGCTCAGGCTCTGAGCTGAGGAGACCCTCAGTTTGGGCTCAGGCTCTGAGCTGAGGAGACCCTCAGTTTGGGCTCAGGCTCTGAGCTGAGGAGACCCTCAGTTTTGGGCTCAGGCTCTGAGCTGAGGAGACCCTCAGTTTGGGCTCAGGCTCTGAGCGGAGGAGACCCTCAGTTTGGGCTCAGGCTCTGAGCTGAGGAGACCCTCAGTTTGGGCTCAGGCTCTGAGCGGAGGGAGACCCTCAGTTTGGGCTCAGGCTCTGAGCGGAGGAGACCCTCAGTTTGGGCTCAGGCTCTGAGCTGAGGAGACCCTCAGTTTGGGCTCAGGCTCTGAGCTGAGGAGACCCTCAGTTTGGGCTCAGGCTCTGAGCGGAGGAGACCCTCAGGTTGGGCTCAGGCTCTTGAGCGGAGGAGACCCTCAGTTTGGGCTCAGGCTCTGAGCGGAGGAGACCCTCAGTTTGGGCTCAGGCTCTGAGCTGAGGAGACCCTCAGTTTGGGCTCAGGCTCTGAGCTGAGGAGACCCTCAGTTTGGGCTCAGGCTCTGAGCTGAGGAGACCCTCAGTTTGGGCTCAGGCTCTGAGCTGAGGAGACCCTCAGTTTGGGCTCAGGCTCTGAGCGGAGGAGACCCTCAGTTTGGGCTCAGGCTCTGAGCTGAGGAGACCCTCAGTTTGGGCTCAGGCTCTGAGCTGAGGAGACCCTCAGTTTGGGCTCAGGCTCTGAGCTGAGGAGACCCTCAGTTTGGGCTCAGGCTCTGAGCTGAGGAGACCCTCAGTTTGGGGCTCGAGGCTCTGACGGAGTACCCTCAGTTTGGGCTCAGGCTCTGAGCTGAGGAGACCCTCAGTTTGGGCTCAGGCTCTGAGCTGAGGAGACCCTCAGTTTGGGCTCAGGCTCTGAGCGGAGGAGACCCTCAGTTTGGGCTCAGGCTCTGAGCGGAGGAGACCCTCCAGTTTGGGCTCAGGCTCTGAGCGGAGGAGACCCTCAGTTTGGGCTCAGGCTCTGAGCTGAGGAGACCCTCAGTTTGGGCTCAGGCTCTGAGCTGAGGAGACCCTCAGTTTGGGCTCAGGCTCTGAGCTGAGGAGACCCTCAGTTTGGGCTCAGGCTCTGAGCTGAGGAGACCCTCAGTTTGGGCTCAGGCTCTGAGCGGAGGAGACCCTCAGTTTGGGCTCAGGCTCTGAGCTGAGGAGACCCTCAGTTTGGGCTCAGGCTCTGAGCTGAGGAGACCCTCAGTTTGGGCTCAGGCTCTGAGCGGAGGAGACCCTCAGTTTGGGCTCAGGCTCTGAGCGGAGGAGACCCCTCAGTTTGGGCTCAGGCTCTGAGCGGAGGAGACCCTCAGTTTGGGCTCAGGCTCTGAGCTGAGGAGACCCTCAGTTTGGGCTCAGGCTCTGAGCTGAGGAGACCCTCAGTTTGGGCTCAGGCTCTGAGCTGAGGAGACCCTCAGTTTGGGCTCAGGCTCTGAGCTGAGGAGACCCTCAGTTTTGGGCTCAGGCTCTGAGCGGAGGAGACCCTCAGTTTGGGCTCAGGCTCTGAGCTGAGGAGACCCTCAGTTTGGCTCAGGCTCTGAGCGGAGGAGACCCTCAGTTTGGGCTCAGGCTCTGAGCTGAGGAGACCCTCAGTTTGGGCTCAGGCTCTGAGCTGAGGAGACCCTCAGTTTGGGCTCAGGCTCTTAGCGGAGGAGACCCTCCAGTTTGGGGCTCAGGCTCTGAGCGGAGGAGACCCTCAGTTTGGGCTCAGGCTCTGAGCGGAGGAGACCCTCAGTTTGGGCTCAGGCTCTGAGCGGAGGAGACCCTCAGTTTGGGCTCAGGCTCTGAGCTGAGGAGACCCTCAGTTTGGGCTCAGGCTCTGAGCTGAGGAGACCCTCAGTTTGGGCTCAGGCTCTGAGCTGAGGAGACCCTCAGTTTGGGCTCAGGCTCTGAGCTGAGGAGACCCTCAGTTTGGGCTCAGGCTCTGAGCTGAGGAGACCCTCAGTTTGGGCTCAGGCTCCTGAGCTGAGGAGACCCTCAGTTTGGGGCTCAGGCTCTGAGCGGAGGAGACCCTCAGTTTGGGCTCAGGCTCTGAGCGGAGGAGACCCTCAGTTTGGGCTCAGGCTCTGAGCGAGGAGACCCTCAGTTTGGGCTCAGCTCTTGAGCTGAGGAGACCCTCAGTTTGGGCTCAGGCTCTGAGCTGAGGAGACCCTCAGTTTGGGGGGCCTCAGGCTCTGAGCGGAGGAGACCTCAGTTTGGGCTCAGGCTCTGAGCTGAGGAGACCCTCAGTTTTGGGCTCAGGCTCTGAGCTGAGGAGACCTCATTGGGCTCAGGCTCTGAGCTGAGGAGACCCTCAGTTGGGCTCAGGCTCTGAGCTGAGGAGACCCTCAGTTTTTGGGCTCAGGCTCTGAGCTGAGGAGACCCTCAGTGT